ACTGACGTCAGTTGGAGAACCACTGGAAACCTGAGGGCACTGACAGCTGTTTCAACCTGGTTTGGGACTCTTCAGCAGTACGCGCCCACAACCTCGTCTCGGCACAAGTCGAGCTCAGGATCTCAGGTTTCACAAGAAACGCGTTGACCATTCAGCCACCGAGTAGGAGTTCAGTGGTTCACAGTTCCTACTTCTATCAATTCGCAATATAGCGCGACTATACTATCATGGTCTTCAGTTGACATCCCCTTTACTTCAATAGGTCGACCCACAGGTCACGGCTGCTCATTAGAACTTTGGGATATCACTCTCAAAGCATGTCACTAATGAGCACTATTAACCGAATAATATATACATATACACATGAAATACGAGATAAATTAAGAGGCTGAAAACAAGTCGGACAAGAATAATTTAACACAGACTGGAAAACGGTGGGAAATATTTCTTTCTGAAAGCATAACAAATTTCAATGAGCGTCGTCAATAAATACTCTGTTCCTAACAGTCCTTCTTTTGAAAGTGATCAGGATTCTGAGATACAGAACCTAATACCCTTCATAGGAGGTTCACAAAATTCATAAAATTTAGTCTTATTCATTGTGAAAAGAACCATAAAACGAGATGATCAAGTCAAAACAGATGAAGTGAGTTGAACTTTTGACTCAGATACTGAGAACAAAGAACACCATCACTTAGTCAACAATTAATAATAATAATAATAATAATAATAATAATAATAATAATAATAATAACAATAATAATAATAATAATAACCGCCTTTCACTACTTACCACTATGAATTGATTTCCAATGTTTTTTCAAATCCGATGCAAATGCGAATTTCGCCTTACACTTTGCACACTTAAGCAGGTCATCTGAAAGACAAATGAACATCGAAGTCAAGATAATGTGGAAAAAACATTTCCAAGTCTACTCACACTAGACAATGCAAGCAGTAGGTTCCCTGACACCTCTGTCTCAACATTGAAATAAAAAATACGTCGACTTTCCTCATTATGCAGCGTAAATAACAGTTAGTCAACCAATATCAATATACAGTCAGGCGAAACCACTGCATAATGGTTAAAGTGGCCAAATCTAAAAGGAGCATATCTAGGTGAAACCTAACAACACGGAGAAGTCGAGAACAAAAAATAATATCATCCGAAGCTGTGAAAAGTTTTACAATAGGAAAAAGAAAGAATTCACCTCCATTAATGAAGAACTAAGTACTCTAAAAAGTACTTTGATTGAAAAAAACCCTGAAAGTCTCATTATGAAAACTATGAAGGTAAGACTACCCAAGCCAAACACATAGTTCCTGAAAAAACGCTCTTCTTGAATCTACAACTCAGTGGAGAGTAGTAGACAAAAATATTGGAAAATCGCTTTTGCAGCTAAAATCTGATTCATTTTATCCACGCAACCAATGATTCGATTATACCCAAATGATATGCTGCCGCTGTTTAGCTCCTCAATTTGCGTCTATCATTCTATCGCTAGATGTCTACCCCAAACTTCTAATTGATTCACATGGTGGTGGTTTTGTGAGACATATGAGATGCTATGAAGGGTGCCTATATCCCCTATATACCACAATTATAATTTGGGTATATTTGAACTGTCTTACTTCACACTTTTTTCCGCGCATGCGACATATTTTGTATCACCCACTAGTGTTCCTACTGGCTCCTGGCCTCTTTAAATGTACTAATTATTCGTTGTCTTTCAAGGTTACTGTAAACTCTATAAATAGGGTTCGTTTCCACCCATAAACATTTTCAGTCCGAGATACTATAACTCATCTGATTTCCAGTCTTTTGATTCCTCTTGCGAATCACTCGGGTTGAACAGTCTCAACCCTCGATTATCAATCGTAAAGTATTATCGTTTTCTCAAAACTCCGCATCATAACAGTAACGGTGGTCGAATATCTGAGAAATGGGAATCAAACATGAATTAGCTTGTCTCCGTCCCCCTTCATCTGACCTGACTGCTTACTTATCGTCTTACATACATACGCATTTTACTAAACATACTTTGATAGGCACAGTACGATGAAATAGCGCAACTGCAGTTCATAAGTTCAGAGAATTGACCTACGACTATTGTATCACGACTCCAGATCTGTCCACGCTCGCCGAAATCTCGCCAGTCATATAATAACATCATTAAAGTAGAAATGAAGTCAGCGCATTAATTGCACCTTGAAACAAGATTTACGCTCGACGTGCATTTAGCAACTACAGTCTGTTTATGGAAGTTGATATGATTGAATACACCCGTATTAGTGTCAAAATCACAACAAAGCACCAACTTGCACCACATAGCGATAATTTACGCATGACAACTACCACCCTATTACTATTTGTCCTTTGGGGTCCCAGTGGATCATAGGACTTCAACATTACTTGTTTTTGTATGATGAACCAATCGATGCTACCTTGACGTGGTGGTCGGGCTTGTGTATCGCAATGACCCGACGAACTACGCTGGTGAAACACCTGTTCCCTCGAGGTCCTGCTATGCCAGGAAGGTCTGGTGGATAGTGACAAGACGAAAGGTAGTCAGTTATAGTGTAAATTACTAAGCTATGATGAGGTCCTGAGGGATAAGTCACACTGCTGCTAGCTGGATGGGGTATGACAACGGTAAGCTGTTTCCCTCAGATGACCAGCAGTGCCGTGTTGATGCTACTTTCTCTATGAGAAGGGGGAGTTAGAAAATGTCGGCCTCAAAATAGCACACCCCCACCCTTTGCGGAATGTCAACGCTTGCAAAAAGGATTTATAGTCGGATTCAAAAGCGTAAATCCAAAGTTTTAAACTTGTCAAAATGCAATGTGTGACCGGTCTCAACAGATGTTTTTTGAGCTCTGTGGTCACGCACTATCCTTTCTTTTCAGGCACCTCAAGAAGTAGCCTTCCACGATGTGAGCAGCCGAGAAGTGTCAACTGCCTAACCGCTTCCAGTGTTACACAAGACCAGAATGCGAAAGCTAACCAACCAACCAACCACGATTTTCCATATTCATATTTTCCATCAAATAAATAAGTATGCAACTTTAAAGAAACACAGAACAATCTATTGTAGTGAAATTAACTTACGTGAATGAGTTTTAATGTGTATTTGTAGTCCTTTACGTGACTGTAGATTCTTGTCGCATTCTTCACATTTGAAAGGTTTGTCTTCAGCGTAGTAATGATGATATCCACCAGTTGTTCAAATAAGGGAAAAAAACCGTACAGTAAGTGAAGCATTTACAAAATCAAAAAATATTGAAAATTTTCAACAATAATGATCAGAAATAAAGCAGTGAATTAATTTCGTCACAAATCAGAAGGAAATATCATATTTGAAACCGAATTGTTATACAATTGCTCCATGTTAGTATGGTTCCCTAAGATGTAGAATCAAGGCATAAAAGAGTAGCGAAGTGTCGTGACCGAGTGGTGGGGTTGCGCGCGTGGGTATAATGAATACTGAAGCTTAATAGACAACTCAACCAAATGCCTATACGACTGACCTCCCTTTCTCCCTTCTGTTTCACTGAGCCGCAAGGAAACTAAAAGACAAACACGGCCTGTAACTGCAAGAACAGCGACAACTCTTATTAGGCGAGTAGATGACATATATGTAGTTACAAAACTCTCAGAAAGTGAAGCCATAAGTGAAACAAACAGATTTCTTGTGTGAGGTCGAATTTCTCCAATTAGGTTCTCATGTCCACTCATGCATAAATCACGACCAGAACATGATCTGATCATGATTTGAGAAAAAAAACCTCTATTGGCTGCCTTTTGTCGCTGCGTGTCATGAATAAGCTTGATAATCACATTAAAAGATGACTTAGAGGGTTGTCCCAAACAACCTTTTCAATGTTCGCTGAGATATTCACAAGTGACTCATTAGCTTAGACAACTGACTTTCAACAACCGGGTCGCGACCGACAGACTAAATCAAAGTAGAACCTCGCACACAAGTGCATCCCTTCAACTTATCACATTTCACTGTAGTATACAAACAACAGGTGGATGGAAAAAGACTCATCTCAAAGTAGACAAAGTTATCTGAAAGAGTGAACAATTTGAAGATAAACCTCAGTGTAAATATTCAAGCTTTGGAAGATGCCAATGAGTGAATACATCTGTGCCATTGTCACCGATTTTCAGCCATGTCACCAACAGCCTCAACCACTGATTCATATCGTCTCGAGGACCCCAAGTCAGGCAGTAGTCTGCACCCCACCCCACCCCACCCCCAACAGATGACTCAGATCAACAGTAAGAGACTTCATCGACTACTGGTGCTACGTATCAATCTGACCACCCTGAAACCTCTCCCAATTTAATCCAGTTACCACTAGCATGGTACGTCGAGGTAGACTGTGACTCGCCATGCATAGCATATATCCAAGTCGGCTTCAGTTGACTCAGGTTCACAACCTCATCAATCGATTTGCCTTTCTTGCATAGTACACTTCGCCTGACTTCAACATTGCTCACATAATGATCCCACTAAACGCGAGCGATGCTTCGAAGACAACTGTGATCCGAACCCTGTAATCGCTTCATATCTTCTTCTTTCAATGACCATATCTCACAGTCGTATAACAAGAGAGAAGGAACTGCAACCCGGTATATTCGTCCTTTCACAGATAGTCAGATATCTCGCTAGTTGGTCCCACAGATGACGTAAAATTGGCAAATGTCAAACAGGTCTTCTGTATCTGAGCTGAGTTTTCATCAGCAACTAGTCTGTTCGGGCTTATGCATTTTCCGGAGTGAGAAGAGTGGTCGACACACTCCACCACTTCACTACTCATCAGCAAACTGAATGGGAGTGCTTGCAGCAGACCAGTCGTAGAGCATCACCTTACGTCTGACAAGTGTGATCGAAGAATATGGCAAACACTCAGATCTCTCCTGAACACATTCAGAAGATCCTACATTTTGACAAAGGCTTCATCTTTAATTTTTATATGAGTCCATTAGGTTCCTAGTGAAACATAGGGCTTCACTAGTACCTCACCATTTCACTCTCTTCTCTGCAGTCTTTTCAACCTGGCTCCAAGACTGCCCACAAGTTTTCATTTCTTCCTCACACCATCTCCTCCATGTCACCCCCGCCTCGGACACCCAAACTCATCGTTTCCTATCTGGGTTCCACTCGAGGACCTGGCCTGGCGCATGATGTCGCCAAACGGTCTTCTCGGTGTATGTCAAGTCCAATCTATCCCCACTTTCTTCTCCATATTTATTGGGTGATGGGTTCATGGTTGGTTCGTTGCCAGCCAGCCCGAGTTCCTTGCTGCCTATTCTCATTATTCTGGACATCTGATCCTCAGTATTGAGTGAGCGTAGGCAGAAGCTGTTGATGTATGTCTGTAGTTTGTTGGAAATGCTTTTCGTAAACCATCAAGTCTATGCACTATCACACAGAAGCACTGAAATGACATTAGTGTTGAAAATTCGGATCTTGTTCTTTATGCTGAGTGCAGTGGATCACACTGATTTCAGATTAATGAAGGCCAGTCTTGCTTTTCCTATCCTGGCTTTGACACCATCATCTGTGCCGACGCCTGTAGTTCAGACGATGCTGCCTAGGTAGGTGAAAGAGACAATTTCTCCTGTCGATGGTGAGTGGTGCTTGTTGTTGTTGGTTAGGTATCTTCATCCCCTCTGTCTTCTCCACGTTCACCTGAAGTCCCGTCTTCACTGTCTCTCCTGCCAACTTGTTAGTTCTCGCCTGTAGCTCTTCGAGTTTGTGCGACATTATACGTAAGCCATCGGCGAAATCCAAATCTTCTAGGCTATTTTCATCGGTCCAGCCAGCGTATGCCCATCTTCTCGCTCCCCACAGTTTGTTGCATGAGAATAAAGATTAGGTCCATTCAACAACATTCAACCAGAACATTTAAGCAACTTAAGATTCCTTTGAAGAAATACCAAATGTATGATGCGTTCTTACAACTAATGGACGGAAATGTTGTTCAGATTGGTAACAATGTTTTACACACACTGGTGTCTTACAGCACCCCGTTTTCGGAGAAAATATCAGAAAACTTCAATACCTTCGCTTTTTGGGATCCATCTGATTCTTGTGTCTCTCGCCCATTTCTCCTAACTCACTATTATATCGTACATCACACTCTCACATCTTCCCATGATAACGCCTTCCATCCACATGCCGTGTCCTGTAATCTTGTACGTAGGCGGAGTCTCCTTTGTTAAAGTGTGATCCAAATGTTTGCGTTATCGGTGCACGACGTGGTGGTAGCATTGCGTGGTGTGGCGTACGTAGCTTCCTTCCCATTAAAACTTCTGCAGGACATTTTCGGTTTGATAGGGCGTCATTTGGTTTTGGGCGATAGATGAATAGGAATTGTTGTATGACATCTGTGTCTCCTTCTTCCTCTGCTTTAAGGAGAACTCACTCAAAGATATCAACAACCTTTCTGCCTAGCCACTGGGTTGTGGATGGTACGGTGGTGTACGAATATGATGGACTGCATTAACACTGCAAACTCTGCAAACTCGTGGGAGGTGAATTGTGACCCATTATCTGAAACAATGGTCTCGGGCAACCCATGGCAGATGAAAATATTTTTAAGAGTCGCGATTGTTCGGCGTGATGATACGGGCGATACTGCGACGATCTCCGGCCATTTGGAATAAGCATCAACAACAATCAGATAGTAGGTTCCATATAGTGGACCTGCGAAATCGATATGAATTCTGGACCAAGGCTGATCTGGCAATGGCCAACTCTTTGGTGGAAGACGTGGAGGATTCTTAGCTGCCTTCTGACATGGTGAGCAGCGACTGACAAATTCAGCTATATCAGAATCCATATTGGGCCAATAAGCATAGCTTCTGGCGATGGCTTCCATACGTTCTATTCCTGGATGACCAGTGTGAAACTGTTTTAGGAGTTTTGCACGAAGAGACTGGGGGATCGCTACGCATTCTCCGAACATGAGGCAGTTGCGGGCGACACAAAGGGATTCTCTTCTGCAGAACAGTTGTTTCAGGTCACTGGTAAACGATTTTTGTAGCCATTTCGTCTGGACATAATGCATGACTTTCTGTATGATATGATCCTTGCAGGATTTATTCTCTACTTGAGCTGACGTAACCGGGAGTGCGCGGATGTCACAATTCAGTAGGTTAATTGCATAATCTCTTGTAGGTACTAATGGGGTCGCCGTGTCTTCGTTAGGTGTAGGAACATCTGATACTGCTTCCACTTTGTTGCAGACCATACTCAATATCGGCGAGTTTCAAACTCTCGAACCAGTTGAGACTGAACAGATTGAGATTGGCATCAGTAATATAACAAACTCCATCAAAAGTAGTGTTGCGAAATGAAACACAGGAGTATAGTCGAGCAACCAGTTGAAGCTTACCGCCACATGCGGTGATAGCTGCTTGTCTCGTTGTCAACAATTATGGTCGACCAAGGCTGGACCATAATTTCCGGGGAATCACTGTGATATCCGACGCTGTATCCACTTGGAGACATGCAGGTTGATCATTTATGTTGAGGGTTATATACTCCGCTGTACTGGGCTACTGATATGAAAAGTTGCAGTGATGCTGAGGGATCTTGGTGTGGATCGATGTTAAGATAAGCTTCTTTTCCTGTTAGTTGAACTTGGCTGACGACAAAACCTATCTTTATGTCCCACAATAGAGACACGTATGTTGTTTAAAGGGGCGCGATTTTACATAGTGTCAAGCTCCACAATGTCAACATGCGGATGGTGGTTTACACTGAGTACTATTTGTAGGTCGGCGTGTTGCGTTACTTGAAATCGATCTGGGTGTTGATACTGCGTCTTATATAGCATGCACTTCTGTCACGTTCTGGCAGCCAGACTGTATAAGGGTGGTATCTTGACGTACATTAGTTAATCCCTGATATTCCTCACCAATATCTTTCAATATCAGCTTTAGGTTTTGTTCCAGACGATTTAGCAGGCGGGTGCGTATATCCGCGAATTTCGGTGAGTAAAGAGCACAAATAAATATGAGTACTTCGAATTGTTTGTCTGTTAGCGACTTCAACTTGAATCGTTCACATGCTCTATTCACAATCCCAAGTTGGGTATGGATGTCATCAGCTTCATTGAGTACCAACTTCATGCAATGGTAGCCGGCATTGAAGAGTGAGCGATGTTCTCCGAATTGCTGGCGTAGTGTTTCTACTGTTTCATCAAATATTCTGTGACGTGGGTTCTGTGGAAGGATAAGACCACAATATTTATCCAATTCATCTGAACCGAGCTATCGGAGTAGAAGTCTAACTTTCCATTTGCGAAATCAACTCTGAAGAGGTCTTCGTATCGTCGAAACCGTGTACCAAAAGTGATGTTGGCATCTGAGTTCTAGATAAACTCCGAAACACTGCACCCAATTTTATCATCCGAAAAAGATGGAGTGACGTGTAGACCAGCAAGCAGTTTCATCATCTTTTCCAGTTGCTGTACATCCATTTTGACACCTCCGTCGCCACCGTTATATCTTCGTACGCCAACGGTTATATATATATATATATATATATATATATATATATATATATATATATATATATATATATATATATATATATATTCCGAATAATAGGATACGCTTGCTTATCTAACAGCCAACCTAGTACGCAAGAGCCACTGACTGTAACCCCAGAGCGAATAGAGAGACGACCGGAGCTGGCAGATGGGGGAGTTTATTACTCCGAGAGTATAATCATACATCAATCCAAAACACGTAAGTATACACATAAAATATGACCTTGTCCGCAATTGGAGATATTCGCATAGTAAGAGTGAAAGTCAACCAATCAGAGAATTACATTACAATGGGGGCAGAAATTAAACTATTAGTCATAAGGTGGTGTGAGAATGCCAAGTTAAAAATGTTCAGACCGATAACAATGTTTGAATACAAACTGGAGCCTTACAATAACGTCTACTCTCTACTGTTCACAAATGAATCAAAGTTTGTGGTGGTGGTGATGATGGTAGATTCAAGAGTTTTCTGAAGTGATCAGACCATTGTTTCCTTTGTTTCTCTTCTTTGGTGGTAACTAGGTTTCCTTCACTATCTCTCATTGGTTTCGTCTGCGTTGATCTCTTCCCTCCCAGATACTAACCTGGTTATTTGGTATAATGTTGTCAGGTCTCTCCTACCTGCTGCCTGTTCTACTTCACTTGTCAATGTGTCGTAGAAGAAGTGTCTTGTCTTTCCGTGCAGTCTTCTTCACTTCTTTGTCCAGTGTTTTATACGTTGTACTCAGTTCCTCTTTTCGTTGTTCATCCTTGCACTGGACTGCACTGTTTCATCATCTTCCTCTCCTTCCTCTATCAGCTTCCATGTATCCGTGGAGATCCATTCCTGTCTTGTTTCTTCCTTCCTAGCATGGTTATGCAGGTTTCCTTCCAGGTCTCTTTCACGCAGTTCCAGTGTTCTTCCACCCAGGTTTCTTCGCGGATGTTGCTCAATGTCTCCCATTTCGTCCTGATGACTAACGTGAAGATGTCCCTTGTAGTTTCATACCTCGGTTTCTGTTCTGGGTGTTGAACTTGAACCATGGTCTATCACCAAATTCTTTCAAGGCTTTCAACTTGATCTTGGAGGTAGGTTCCTTGCACTAGATAGTGGTCTGAACCTACATCTGCCCTCCTTCTTGACCTGATCTTGTGTCCAGTAGGCTGCGTCTTCACTTTCTTCACATTGAGATGAAGTCGATCTGATTTTTAGTGTAGTGTGTCCATCTGGTGAAACCCGTGTCAATGCCTTGTGGATATCCTTGTGTTTGTACACACTGCCTAACTCCAACCACCAAATCATTAGATGCGTAGAAGTCTGCAAACAGTTCTCCATTCTCATTCATCATTTCACCGACCCAGGATGAGTTCTCTTCCTTTGTTGTCTGCTCCCAGTTTGCCATTCATGTCACCCCATTAGAATTTTGATGTCACCAACTGGAGCCTTGTCCGGTACTGATTGCACTTGTCTGTAGAATTCCTCCTTCTGCTCTTGATCTGCATTATTTTCAGGCACGTAGCGTAGCATTGTATGTTTGTGACTTTCCTTCCTTTTGATTGAACTCTTGCCGTCATGATCCTGATGCTGGAGGAGATTGGTTCCCAGTGCATGAGAGAGAGCCTTCCATGCTCTTGGGGACGTCATGATAGTCACTCTAAAACTCAGTGTGCTCGTGGTTGTCGTCTGGTTGACAGTATCGGAGTAGATTATTGACTTTTCAGTTGACAGTTTTGAGAGTCCGCTTCCATTCCATCTGTTTTCGCAGATTCCTAGCACTAACATACTATACCTTCTCATCTCTTTGGCAATCTGGGCAGCCTTGCCAGCTGGCTTCAAACATTGTGCGGACATTCTATGTCCCCATGTTTACTTTCGCTTTCACCGAGAGAAGAGAAGACGTTTTGGCCAATCGGGTTCCCGAAGGCTTTCACCAACCGGCATCATTTCGTGTCCCTGACTCCAGCGAGGAATAAGTTTATTTTTATCTCTTATATTTTGTTTGTGCTTTGAAGTTTGTTTAGCGATTGGATTGGTTTTGCGGGGTAGGGTTGCTAGCCCTATCCCCAACCTTCCCTTTTTTATCCGGGCTTAGGACCAGCTAGTAAACTGGTGAACCAGTAAACTAGGCGAGGTTCCGCCTTCAACTAGCAGAATAATGTCGTCTGCATACTCCAAGTCAACCAGATGACCTCCACGGATTACGTCAATCTCTGTGAAGTCGAATGTACCAAAAGTCATGTCCATCAGTACGTCTATAACGAAGCTAAGTAGGAACGGTGACAGTGGGCATACCTGACGGACACCATTAGTTGTCTTCAATTCATATGACAACACACTCTATAAGCCCTGACACAGCTGCGTAGTTTCTAGTAGAGAGCTTTGATTGGTGTTATATACTTTTTCAGTGGGTTACGGATTAGAATATCAGCAATTCTTAAGCAATCCTTGTTAGGTTTATGAGTTAGGTTACATCCTACAAGGGAAACGGGTATACACATAGTAACAAGAATACAGATTCGGCTCACAGTGACGACTGATATTAAGTACCACTGGCAACTCTACTCGAAGCAATGCTCTGATAATAATTCTAACCAAACAGCCACATTAGGAACCGCAGATTAGCCATACTATTTCAGATTCATTCCAGTCAATAATTTATATGCCCACGAAAACATTATGTTAAAACCAAGATTGCATCATCAACGACTGATAAGACCTCCAAATCAAAAGTCAAAAGCATCATCTTTCCTGGAAGAATATTTGTTTAGTTATTCTTCATATGCTGCTGCAACCCCCCCCTCCCACAATTCACTGATCCTAAAAGAACACACTTCCCTCCTAAATTATATAATCCTACTAGGCAGGTGATTTTTCACTTATCTCAAACTTACCAACCAATCTAAGGGACTTTCTCTTAACGTTTAAAATGATTCGAATAAATCAAAACTGAATCAGATCTTTCAGACTAACCTTCATGTTTAACTTTACGATGTTCTTCGAGATGATGTTTCGTTGAAAATAGCTTACCACAGTCGACACACGGTGCTCCTGATAAAAAGGAAATTCGAAATACATAAGCACAAGTTCACAACATTCACTCCTTTTTCCACTTTAACAATACCCTCTACAAAACCGTTACGATCTCGAATCCCGACTACAAATGTCAGTAAATAAATTCCCTACTATTAACTTTGTCTGAGTTGACGTTCTTAGCGCACTACCCAGACGCTGAGGTTAAGCTTATCTCTGCATTCTGTTGACAGAGTCTGGGATAATAGGCAGGAATATCATCTTGTAATCTCAAAGAGATTATTGGCCACCTGACAACCTCCAACCTAACTCTTGATCAATTTTTTCCACATCATGACGTCTTTCGTTTCTTTTTTGTGTGGGGGCATAGGTCCCGATAGGATTTTGGGATGGACTTGTAGGAGGCTGTGCACCTACGTTTTTGCTTGCTGGCACTCGTCAGAAAGGCGTATCTGCAACTTCAATGGAACTGGTCTCACTACTGAGCTATTCGGACCACAACTAGCCTCCTATAGAACTTGCATTACACACATCGGTCGGTCACTGGAGAGTCAATAAACTTTATATTGCCCAATCCTGTGTTGATGAATTCTATGGGTCATTTCTGCAATGTGGTTGCGCAAAGGCTCAGAAACACTCAGTTGGCAAGTGCCGATAGACACGCAACCTAAGTCCAGGGGTTCCCACCTATTGCCTTCAATCACCTGAAACCAATCAAAATGCAGTACGATGCTGAGTAGTCTGCCTCAGTGATCACATCGCAAAAATGACCGCTAGATTTCTTCAGCACATAAGAGTAAATAACATGAAATCGGTGACTCCTCCAATGACTAATAGATATAGATATGGATTTTGTTTCATCAACACTGATACAAGATATCGCAACAAATCAGTAGTCAACTTGTGTCGGTCTTCCTCGCCATGATTCAACTTAAGGCTTTGGGATGTTCATGACCTGAGAACACACAATCAACAGCATCTATTCATGCCTATATATATTAGAACAAGACAAGCGAACAATATTGTCCTCAATTAGATCCTTTCCAGGCTTTACTCTACAGATAGCTTAATATATATAAAATTAAACCAGTCATGTAGTTTTGTCGGTTGATGTGATAAATGTTTCATATAACGGTGGAGATAATAATACAAATAATAATAATGAAATTGATAAAAGTGATAACGATGACTAATTTCATACATATTAAGCTATTTGTATTAGGGTAAAAACTGAAGATCTAATTGAAAACATTGTTCGCATATATATATATATATATATATATATATATATATATATATATATATATATATATATATATATATATATATATAACAAATCATATCATTTTAGAAGCACAATGCATTTAAGACTCCCAATTCTAGTCAACCAATACTGTTTTCAAGAGAGGACCATATGCGTGGTCTCACATTTGAAGATTTGTCCACCACTAATTATTTCAAGTGATTACTTTACGTAGTGATTCCTAACAACTTGTACTTTCAGTTCACAGAAAATTACTCCACTTGAGTCAGTCAAGTGCTAGACATCTCAAGATTTCACCAATACTCGTGTAGATGTCATGCAATCCGATGGTTAGCATGCTCCCCATGAAGACGTTGTGGACAGTTTACTATCCTGCTGAACACAAGCGGAATACTAAATGTATTCTGTTTTTGGTTAATTGTACTAAAGCTTACTGTTATTGCTTGTATTACACCATCGTTGATTGGACCGAATTGATCAGTCTCTGTTGGCATATGGGCTCCTATGCGGATGCCTCGATATTGCCTGGCTATCGTGGCTCGGTGGTGTAGTGCATAACGCGCTGGCGTTTGAAGCTATCGCTCCCGAGTCCGAGTCCCAGTGGGAACAACTTCACTCACTGGGAAGCAGGTACATCCAGCTGACGAGTCCCAAATGGGACGAAATGCGCATCCTGGATTCCACTGCCCATCATTACTATTCTAAAGCTACTTCAAAACTCATCACAAGCTTTAGGAGAAAAATACCCATTGACCCCCCTAATAATCATTAGCAACCCGATGATCTGAGCAAACTAATAAGCTGTTATCAGCAATAAGCGCATCGAAAAATGTTTCTTCTAGTGATAATGGTAGAGTTTGGTAGAAAACGAATGATATCGAAGGGCAATTCAGCATGAGTTAGTGCATGTTTATACACAAAACGTGTAGCCATACCTAACGTGCGGGAAAAATTTAAACTTGAGTGCATGTTGCAGTGATACAGCACTCTCCATCCATCCAAACTAACATAGGACCAGGCATTACTGAGTAACGGTCTGAGTTGCCACAACTCATCAACCCATCATCAAGTAAAAAGGCAGTGGAGTGGAAGATGAAGAGAAAATTCAGTCTAAAGAAATATAAAGTACGAAAGGAGAGAAAGGAAGGATGAGAAAATGGTGAGATTCGGTAAAGCGTTAAGATGAGGATAACGTGTGTATACATCTGCGCCACCGACATCGGTTCCGAGCCGTATCACCTAGAGTCTCCAACCACTGATTTCTCTTGTCCCGCTGACCCCAACCGCTTAGTCTCCAACGCCCCAAAAGGTTCAAACAAACAGTCAAATACTTCATACACTGATGCCATGTTTTAGTCTGGCCACCTTAGGTCTTTTTCTAACCTGAACCTACTTCGGTCAACATTGTGTGGTGAGGCAATCGGCGACTAGGCATACGTAACACGTGTCCCAACCGTCTCAATCGATGAAGGTCCATAACCATCTCAAATGACTTACCTCTTCCCCCTAAAACTCTACACCGGAGCCTGACTTCTGCGTTATTCACGTGGCGACACCACGGAATATGGTCTATACCACGAAGACAACGGTAGTCAAACACCTGAAGCCTTCTTATGTCTTCCACCTTCAATAGCCACGTTTCAAACACATACAGTAGAACAGACCGGACTGCTGTGTAGTAAACGCGGCCCTTAATAGGCAATCAGATATTACGGAGGCGCCACAGGCGTTGTAAGTTAACAAAAATCAGCCGAACCTTTTGTATTCGTGCAGCCACCGAGCCACCAGGGTTGATCCCACTTCCCAGGGAAGTGAAGTGGTCAACACATTTAACCACACTAATGTCCAGAAGACTGCATCTTGTCAGCGTCTTCACCTAACAGGACTGTCACCTGCGTATTCTAGGTCTAACGAAAATTCTCCCAAGATTAGGTCAACCTCTGTGTAGACAGGTGACGAGAGGGAGACACCCATAAGAATATCGATGATAAAATTGAATAAGAATGGAGAGAATGGGCACCCTTGACGGACACCATTTGACGCGCACAGCTCCCCAGAACTGACTATAGGCTCTAACATGCCAGCAGGTTTTCGAGTAGAGAGACTTCAATAAGGTGATTTACTTACTCACCACGCCTTTCAGTGAGAGACATTGTCATAAGACTTCTCGATCAACGGAGTTGAATGCCGCCTTCAGGTTGAGAAATACAGCTATTGTCGGGCGTCGGTAGGCGTGCCCATGTTCCAGTACCTGGCGCAGTGTGAATATTTGGTCGACACACCCGCGACCGGGTCTAAAGCCTGCCTGGTTTTCTCGGACTTGTTATTCCTGAGCTCCACTCAGGCGTCGAATTACAGAACCTAGGATCTTCAACAGTATGTCCGTCAGGCTGATTTCTCTGTGGTTAACACAAGAGGACTTCTCGCCTTTCTTGAAGACTAGAATAATCAGTGATTTAGACCAGTCAGAGGGGATCGTATTTGATTCCCACATTCTGGTTAACACTTCCGTTAACCTAAGAGCAGTCTACCACCAGTCTTGTATACCTCAGGAGTTAGTGCGTTTGTTCCTACTGCCCTTTCTCGTTTCAAGTTACCTACCGCTTTCTCGACTTCTCCTAGTGTTGGGGAGCGTATCTCAACGTTCCATTCAGGATTCGACTGGATAGCGGGCAACGCAATAGTAGTGGCTGGAGGCCAGTTAAACTGTTCCTCGAAGTGTTCTGCCCATCGTTCCAGTCGTCTCTCCTGCGAGTGAATCGCAGACCTGTTCTTCTCCGCTACAGTCTCACTAACCGTTGTTGACCTTTTCCCCCTAGTTTCCTAATTAAGTCTAAATAACTGCCTACTGTTACCAATCCCCGCTGCCTTTTCCATCTCTAGTCTTCACTGCCCACTACCTTTCGCGGTCGATGAGTAGACTTTTTCTCAATCTACTTTTAAGTTGTGCCCGCTCTTCGTTGTACTCAGAGCCTGCAGGGATGCGTTCATGCCCATCCATTAGCTCGGAAGAAACTGTTGATATCCACTGGCTTTTTTTAGCCACTCTTTCCGAGTCGGCTACGGTTCTCGGTGCTGCTTTCAGAGCAGGCTGGAGATGGAACCAAACTTCTTCTGGATGAGTGATAGTGTTCTGTTCCGATAACTGCCTAGCCAATTGTTCACTGAAAGCGGCTTTGGTGTTTTTCGTTGTCGAAATACACTCGTAATCGTTTTGTTGCTAAATTTTTCCCACGTCCATTGAGACGCAGGCATATACGTGCTGTGACCAACGCGTGATCGCTACCTAAACACATACTTCAGGAGGGGCGGCATTCTCCCATCGATCCTCTCCAGCGACGACTAATAGCAATGTGGTCTATCTGTGTCCATCGCTGAGTTCAGCTCGGTGGACGCCACATCAGACAGTGTCTTTCTTAATGTCTGAAATTTGTGCCAACTAAAAATAGGCGGTTGTCTGAGCACAGTTGTAGTAGGCGATCATCGTTATCTGTTCGTTCAGCCAGGATTCTGAAAGTGACACGTAAATGCCTTTCTGACTCATTCAGTCTACCCATTTGTGTGTTGAAATCACCTGCAACAACCACCACCTCTGAACATTTGGCTTTCGAAAGCAGATTAAACAGTTCTCGGTAGAGCTTGTCCTCCGGTGCATCCGAATTGCAGTCAGTGGGTGCGTAGGCACAGATTACAAACAGACAACGGCGAGTTTCACTATTCCTTTTAGTTCTCACTTCGCTGTTCAGCCGGGCAGTGCAAAGGCGACTATCAACTGCGATTTAGTCTGGTAGTGAGGCTTTCCGCCCTAGTGCTTAGTGACATGTCTACACCTGCAAGATCGCGAAAGCCAGCCATCGAATCTCCAGAAACTCAAAGGGTGAATTTTGCGGATTCATCAGATTGGCCAGGAGAGGTTAGGTGAATAACCACTTGAGTCCTGTATGCCAGTCTCAAAAACACAGCACATATTCATGGCCCGAATTGCTAGTCTTGGCCAATGAGGCGTGTTAACCAATTTGATGGAGGGTGTGGATATTGAATACCTTGATGTGTAATTTGGAGCGTAGTTTAAGGAGGCTATGGATGCTGTTCTGTGGATTCAGATAGTTGTCGAAGGCTGCAGAGCTAGGAGAAATTGGAGATGATGTAGTACCGTGAATTAAGACACATGAAGAATGATCAGAAGGCAATGATGAAGGAGGTGGATAGCAGCCTGAAGAAACCTGAGTGCTGGCAGAGTTGTGAGGGCGGTCGACACAGTTACAGCTTCACTTCGTGGAGCAGAACTGACGCCATTCAGTAAATCTTATCCCTCGCACCATCCAAGCTGTGGTCAATGCAGACCAGAAATAAGTACTAACCAGCTTGTCAATCATCTCTGATAATTAGACCCATTCAGAGAGACGGCACAGAAACAGTCATCATCTACTATCCGTACACTAGTGCACTTTCCTCCCCACAACCTAATGCTGCACATACAAGTGGGTCAGTGGGAAGTAGCCACCAGATCTTCACACAATAACAAGGTGAATTCCATAGATTTATAGCATTGATTAAATGATGTCACTGTATTCTGCATGCACTTCGCAGAAACCGTATACACCCATAATCTGAAATCCTGAAGTTCCATCTAATAATTTACTTCTGTTGCTTAATTCGTCACAGGGTTAAGACGTAAGATTTGATGTGAAATGACCAGGATGCTTTCAGGTAACTAAACGGTGTTGCGCTAACTCTAACCGTTAGGAATCGCTGCACGGTACGAAGTTGGGTAACCTGGGAGGAGCCTTTTGTTGGCGATGAGAACAAGGAATGAAATCAGTGCCAGAGACAACCGTAGGGGAGGTAGGTTACCGTTAGACTAATTGAATTTGAGGGTTTTGGGAGACTTATTGATTTCAAGTTGGTATTCATCATTTACTGACTCCTGGGGCGGGTCATGGGTGCGCAGTAGTGAGGAGTCCCGTACTAGGACGAAACAGCTGTCTGGTGCTCAAAGGTTTCCAGTGTTCCTCCAATTGATGTCAGTCCATGATGAATACCAACTTGATACCGTTAGATTAATTTTGTATGCTGCTAGAAGCATGTGAGTGATGTGTACTTCCTTGCTGCAGACAGCGTTGAAGTTAATCCACATACGACGAGCCCTAATATTTATTCTTCAGCACACGGTAACAGAATTGAAAATGATTCACAGAAATGTAGTTGCACTGTTAGCACTGGTTTATAAACAGTAAGTATCTCATTATTCAGTATCTTACTGTCCACCCAGTTTTCCTCAAACTTAACATAGGAATCAGGGTGATAGATAACATGCACATAAGTTTTACAGCTTTACTAAAACGCAATCTGAAACGTAAAAATTCTCAGACGTAATGAAATATGTAGCCTCCCGACCTGAATTGTCTTTTTACGTAACATCGACAATTTGTTACATCTGATATATATATTCGGTACTCTAAGCACAAGTGTATCCCATAAATAAAGACGTACCTTTCTCAATATCCAAAGACTTCTTCAGCTTCTTTCCCATTTCTGAGATGTACACCGCTTACTGAAGGCGATTCGCTAAAAAATACATAAATAAGTTTGATATGGTTAGGAAGGAACTTAGTTTACATCAGTAACCGTGTATCCTCTAGCATCGCTTAAAGGCATGGTGATCTTCAGAATATGCGGACTAAGTGATTCAGATTGGTCCATACTAATAATCTGAGAACAGATATAAACTTATGACGATGGGAAACAGAAGGGACTATGACTTTTTTGTTGAAACATCCAACAAAGCAAGACCAGCCACCTTTAATAAATCAAGAAGCACTCAAATTGAAAAGTTGAAAGAGCTGACGAAAGTAAAACCTATGGCTGAGAAAAATAAAGTTGCCTACTATCGATAGAACCAAGAGGGTGATGAACGCAACAGGAGTACTACACTCATTGAAATGAAATCGTTTAAGATAGGAACTAACTTAAACGTAGCTGTAGGTAAGTTGAGACCTGAAAACAATAGCATAAAATAAGCAATTGGTTAACTACGTAAGACCTCTATTAAACAGGTTTTAGGAACAGGTACGTCAGCAACCAATCAAACACAGAAACAACGTAAAACCTAGCACACAAGTGGACCCCTTCAACTTGCCACATTTCACAGTAGTACACAAACAACAGGTGGATGGAAAAAGACTCATATCAAAGTAAACAAAACTGTGTGGGAGAACAAACAATTTGAAGATAAAGTTTAGTGCAAATATTCAATCATTGGAAGATGTCAATGATTGAATACATGTGCCATTGTCACCGATTTTTAGCCATGTCACCAACAGTCCTCAACCACCGATTTGTAGTCTTGGGGACCCCAGCTAGACAGTCTGCATCTCCCTATACGGCTCAGATCAGCAGTTAGGGACTTCGTGGATTGGTGCGATGTCTTGGGCTGGCCACCCTGAACTCTCTTTTAACCTAGTCCAAATCCCTCTGGTAAAAAGTGTAATCCCATTATCATGCATCGGACTGAAAAGGACTTAAGACTCACTCGAAAGTTATGGTGGGCAAACCTTATAACCTATTTGAGGGTGTGAAAATGGTAATGGGAAACATCCATATAATAATTCACCATGCAAAGGTCAACAGACTGCTGCTTGGAGGGAAAGGTAGACGCTGGAGTCTCACATGTAACAGTTAGTTGCTACATCTAACTTCACTATCATTCACTATCTTTCCTTGCTCCTCTATCTTGAGTTCTTCTACTTTGATGTGAAGTGTTGAAGTCTCCGCCGTTGACTACGCAATCGTGATTTGCAGAGGAAGTCCTCAAGACTGGATTGAAGGGCAAAGGAGCTAGTGAGGGACCAACATACAACCCTGAGCAATTGTTTGATGACATGAGTGGTGAAATAGCACCATAAATACTCCGGGAGCAGGATGGGGGTCGCGTGGCTTACCCCTCTTACCTTTAAACGCAGAGACCCACTTCACCTCCCAGTCTGAGCTTAATTTCCCTGTGGAGTAGTTGCATGTCAGTTATATGCATCTATCAGAAATGTCCGGTGGCAGCTACAATTAAGTTGCATACAAGACGTCAGAATGCAGGTGTTCGCGGAACGTCCTCATTACCACTTCCCTCTAAGTCCCTTAATGTTGCTGGTAATACATATTAGGGCATAGTTGACGGGAAGAAACGACTGATTGCTTACTTCTGATACAGCGCTTACGTGGTTGGGTCTAGGATCACCAGTCCTCAGAACGCTAGCACCGATCCATCTTTTGGCGCTATACTTTCAGTTTGAAGGGAGGCTTTACTAGTAGAAGTTTCAGAAATCTAGTCAGGTACCTGACTCACTGACATGCCTTTGACAACGTTTAGCCTTGCAATCAAGCGTCAAATAAAAAAAGTGTGTAGGGGTACCCCACACCACTTGTTATACGTATAATAAGTGGTGTAGTGGAGCTCCTTGTTTAGATCTACTGCATCACAATCCACCAAAGACCTGGAGCCATTCAGCAAAACCAAGAAGCGAGCACGAAAAAATCAATTGGTGTACACAAGCTCGTTAGACAGATATTGGGTATTGGACCCACGGAAATGCTGACTACGTCAAACGTTAAAGCGAAATTTCAGTTAACTTAAGTCAGCCTTATAATAATCCTCACCACTGTACCTATCATGAGAAATAAAATTTGTCGCAGGTAGGATGCCCAAAAACCCAAAAGAACAAACCAACGGTCCAACCAATCATACTCGCTGAAACAGCCAGGCTTCGATTTCCGCTCTTTAATTTACTACTCGTAAACCGCGTCTCACTAACAAGTTCGGTATCCAATTTTTGTTTTGCGAGTTTGTGTATACCAGTTGAATTCTAGGTCATTAGGAAAGGCTGCGGATCATCAGTCGAGTCTGGTTCACCAGATGTAGCTCCCATATTGCTGTTCCTGTAGTTGACACAATTCAGATCCGATTCAGAAATGTTGTCTGAAGATAGGAGGCTATGAACTGATATTAATCCTTTTCCAGTAGATTTCTGTGCTTGTCCAGTCCCTTTTGACTGAGTCAGTTGGTGGTGCGGACACCACTTCTTCTAGGAGTCGGTTCCGGGCATTGATTACTCGACGCGAGAACTAGTACTACGCTGTGACTTTATTCGTTCTTTGCTTTTGTAGTCTCTTACTATGACCTCTGAGGTGTTACGACCTGGTTGGAAGGAAAAGAGAGGACAGATCAGGTCCGGAGCCATTTCTCAGAATCCTGTATAGGATGATTAGGTCTCCCCACTGTCTGCGGTAGGACAAAGTGAAGAGTTTCAGCTTCTTAAGTCGGTCTTCATAGTTGAAGCCAGTCATTGCAGAGGTCATACGAGTGGCTGACCCCTGAACTTTTTCTAGGTCTGCATCAGCTTTCAGACAATGGTTGGCCGCCTGTCTACAGTTTTCTAATTTAGACCCAACTAAGGATGTGCATAAGGTGGTGAACATGTCACTACTTATTTTCGTAGACGTTCTACGTAATGCCTAGAGAGTCCTAAAACTTCGAGCTGCTACAAGTCGACAGTGTGCAGTGGTTTTCAAGTCATAACTAACCGTGACTCCTGGATCACTGTGGGTCAGTACTGGCGGTAGAGGGGTCCTATCAATATCGTAGGTGTTGACGTGTGTATGCGCCCCAAATGCATGCTCACGCATTTATATGCACTGATAGGCACCAGCCACGTCCTGGCCAGGTAAACAAGCTGTCTGGGTCTGTCTAGAGCGCACGTATATCCTCATCGTTCCTAATCTCCCACCAGACTGTTACATTATCGGCGTAGAGAAGCGTAGGGGATTTGGTGATGTTGGTAGCTCATTTACGTATAGGAAAAACAGCAGGGGCCCAGGACTGTGCCTTGCGGCACTCCACTCTCTGCAAACTTCCAAGCGGAGAGTTGGAAATTGATCCTAACTCTTTGTTTCCTACCAACAAAAAAGTCTCTCATCCATGCCACCAGACTGCCAGTGATTCCAAAGCTTCCCAGTTTTCCTATCAACCTGGAATGAGGCACTTTGTCGAACGCCTTACTAAAGTCAATGAAAATGACATCTGCTGGTATCCTATCATCTTTAGATTTAAACCAACTTTCTCTGACTGCAAGGAGGTTCGTCAGGCAAGAGAAATTTCTACGAAAGCCATGCTGCGAACGAGACAAAGTGTTGCTCTCTAAGTGGAGTGTGGTGGCCTTGGTTACTCTTTCTGGGATTTTTACTGCAATACTGGTCAAACGTATCAGTCTGTAACTTGATGGGAGCTGCTTAGAACCTGCCTTTTGGATAGGTGTTACTATGGCATCCTTCCAGGCATGGGGGAGTGTGCCTGAATATAGTAGTCAATGGGCCGGCTACATAGAGTGCAAGCACTGTGAGCAGCCCCGGGCGCAGCTCATATTGTCCCGTTGATTTTTCCACATCGAGAGTACTAGATGTTCGAAATACATCATTACGATCGACATTCACAGAGTTTATTCTGTTGGATATCAATGCTCCTGCTGTTGGATAACTGTCCACTGAGGATTCCTGTGTGAAGACCTCAGAAAAATATCCAGCCATGGCTTCTGCTTTTTCCTATCGTCCCCAATCAAACAGTCATTTTCTGTCCCATTGATTAGAACGGGTGTACCAATTCTTATTTCTATAGTTCTTATAGGAAAATAACCTCTTCGGATGTTGCAATGCAGTCTGGGCAAGATGTGTTTTAAAGCATAGTTGAGACCGGCGGATAGCAGTGATAGATTTATTGCGAGCTTCTTTGTAATGCTTTATGACTTTGGGTGTACCGAGATGGGTGGCAAGACTCCAGCACTTTTTCCAACGTCGTAGCGAGATTCAGATTTCGTGGTTTGTCCATGGAGAACGGTGTTTCCGTCCCCTCGGGACAGTCACTCGTGCATATAACCGTTTAACGGAGCACTATGCGCTTTCAACCGAGGCTTCTGGAATGACTGGCCGGTCCCTCGAGGAGGCTGCCAGGTTAATAGCTTCCATATTCGTTTTCCATATGTTGGATCTAACCGGGGCATCGGCCAGGTACCAGACATCTGCTGTGAATCTGGAGATTACCACGGCATGATCAGCCTTGCCGAAGGGTGCTGGGTGTCGGGTGAAGCACACATCATCTGTATGTGAGAATACTAAGTCCAGAACCGATGGAGCATGCTGACGATTATGTCTGGTTGATGTCCTAATGTGCTGTATTAGGGCCGAAGAAATCGATGCAACCACTAGCCTGTGATCAAATGGTGCTACGATTAGGTTAACACCTTGCCACATGAATTTTAGCCAGCAGCGCTGCGTTTCAGATGTCTCACTTTCATGTCCAAACATTTCAATGGCTTTTACAGCTACGGTATTCTTAACGTAAACGAAGACATCACCATCTTTGTGCTCTAACCTATCCCCCCTAAAAAGGACGAATCCTCGTAAGTGTGTTTCACAGTCACTCATCTAAGAAGAGCGTCACGTTTTCGGGACAACGGTGGTGTCAGGACTTTCATTGCTTATCACAGTACT